CATCATCATCATCATCATCACCATTAATTAGTTGTACAAAGAGGCCACAATTCTATTAAGTCAGGTTATGAGTGCGACACATCTTGGTCAATATCACCCCTTTCTTTGTGCTCCCCCAATTGCCCCCTCTAAGTCCTTACCCATCAAGTTACACAGTTCAGTTTTTACATAAGATACACTCGCTATCTTGACCTCTTCCTTCCTTCCTTCTTCCTTCCTTCCTTCCTTCCTTCCTTTCTTTCTCTTTCTTTCTTTCTTCAATGACCTTTGTGTTTGCAGAGAGGCAAGACCCTTCTGTCCCCTCTCCTCCCCAGAGCTCCTTGGCCACGGTTGGTTCTGTGGTGCTACCTGACACCAATCAGATGTCACCTGAACAATGGCAGCTGACTTTAGTAGAAATTCATAGTTTGACTCCCTGGTGAAAAGAAAGCCAAAGGCCTCCGTGGATTTTAAATGCTCTCTGTGCCTCAAGGAGGCTTTCTGTTATGGGAAATTTAGGGCAGCGAAGTTGGCCTCCATCCTTGTGTCTGGTAAGAGAATCAGGAAGGCAAGCCTGTGAATATAATAAACGTTTATTAGAAGGGAAATATGGCAGAGAAAGAGCATGTGGCATAGACATGCCACTGGAAGCCAGCTCAGCCATCTTGTGCCATCTCTGGGATTACAGAGCTTTGGCCTTGTGTTAAATAGGGAGAATTGGGAATCCTTAAAGCTGCTTTCTGATTGGTGATTCTCCTGTTTCCCATGAAGTCAATACTAAAGATTTAGTGCCCTATTCTTATTATTTCTTTTGTCGTTCTTCTTGTTTTATAGCCCCCTGCCCCCATTTCTTTGACTGACCTGCTTGCTTTTTTTCTCTTATCATTTTCATCCCCAACTCTATGTTGTCCTCACTCCTCGCCACCCAGACTTTCACATCAGCACCCACAATTTCAGTCATCTTTGGCCTTAGCCTCTAGAATGCTGGGATTATAGACTTGTACCTCCATGCCCAGCTCTGAGACTGTTTCTTTCTTCTTCTTCTTTTTTTTTTGGCCGGTCGTGGGGCTTGAACTCTGGGCCTAGGCACTGTCCCTCAGCTCTTCAGCTCAAGGTTAGCGCTCTACCACTTGACCCATAGCACCACTTCCAGTCTTTTCTGTTTATGTGGTGCTGAGGAATCGAACCCAGGGCCTCAGGCATGCAAGGCACGTACTCTATCACTGAGCTACCTTCCCAGCCCTCTGAGACTGTTTCTAAGTTCAAGAATGTAGCCTTGTTTAGATGGTATGTATGCTTGCTTGAGAATATGTGTTGGAAGGAAGATGGTTTGCTGAAGAACAGAGTTAGTCTTTACCTTTTTTTTGTTGTTTTTGTTTTTGTCGGTCGTGGGGATTGAACTCTGGGCCTGGGTGCTGTCCCTCAGCTCTTCAGCTCAAGGCGAGCACTCTACCACTTTGAGCCACAGTGCCACTTCCGTTTTTTTTGGAGATAAGAGTCCCACATACTCTCCTGTCCATGCTAGCTTTGAATTCTGATCCTCAGATCTCAGCCTGCTGAATAGCTAGGATTATAGGCATGAGCCACCAGCGCCCAGCTCTAAAGCCAAATCTCTTTTGAGGTTTCTGGATCCGACCCTTTCTTTGCCCAGGTATGAAAAGAGAAAACATTTGTAGTTATGAACAGAACATAAAAAGCTGGACTGGGGCTGGGAAGGTGGCTCAGTGGTAGAGTACTTGCCTTGCATGCCTGAGGCCCTGGGTTCGATTCCTCAGCACCACATAATCAGAAAAAAAAAGCCAGAAGTGGCGCTGTGGCTCAAGTGGTAGAGCACTAGCCTTGAGCTGAAGAGCTGAGGGACAGCG